TGCTGCTAACAGAACCACTCTGCTAACAGTACCATGCTGCTAACGGGACCATGTTGCTAAGAAAACCTCACTGCCAACAGAACCACTCTGCCAATAGGGCCATGCTGCTGTATATGTATTTCTTTTTCACTTTTGGCGCCTTGTTTTTGTATTTTTGTTTCATGCTTTGTTTTGTTTTTTTAGCAAGTCAAGATGTTTCTTCTCGTTCTGAACATTTCATTTCATTGTTGACCTTGTGTTGATTTGCATAAATAAACCTAAACCTAACCTAGATCCACAGAATCTTCTGATGTGGTACAGCCCATGGTCTTCATTGCAGGTTAAGACTTGTCCTCCTCAAGTGGTGACACAAGCGTAAACTTTGTACCTTTGAGAATCACCCCGAGTCTGTTACATAAGAGGCCATCATGAGTGAAGAAATCAGAGCAAGACAATAAAAACAATGACAGTGAAGGGATTAAATAGATTAGAGGATTTGGAACAGTTTGAACCAAGACAAAAAATAATTGTTTTAAATCCTTAAAACCTTTAAAAATGACCAGAGTTTGTTTAGTTGATTCCAAAGGAACAGTCAGTTTCTTTATTAAGCTGATTTACTGTTAAAGCCAGAGATAAGTTTTTCATTATAAAATGATTTCCCATGGCAGCTTTGTTTAAAAAAAGGCTCACAGTGAAACACGTTTGATTTGGTAAGCTTGGGAATCATGTTGACACTCGAATATTCGATTTATAAATTCATAGTACAAAAAAAGTGGCATGTTTTAAAAGACTGACATATGGTGTACATTAGTTTGTGATTTCTAGAAATTATTTGACAGTTTTGTTCATCTGATCTGACGTTGCTAACGTGCTGTAAACGTATTACTGATAAGGAGTGTTTTGCTATATTCTACTCAACTTTAATTTGTTTCAAGATGCATGACCTCAAAATATAGTGAGATGATTCATCCGGCTCTTCTTCGGTTTGTTAACCTGTTTGAAACTGGATTTTTAAGGTAGTTGACGTCACACGAGGCAGTTTTCTTTTATCTCTAGCCAAATAGTAAGTTTCTCAGATAACACCAGAATTAACCTTTTAAACTGTGTGCAGGAGATGAACATCGGGATTTGATGTCGGATATGAAACTAACAAAAGCTTTGGTAGCTGCTAGGTGCTGGCTCAAGAAAGTGTAAAATGTTTTTCAATCTCGGATGAAAAAAATGTTTTTTAGAATTTTAATTTTAATTTCAGAATTCTGAGAGAGAAGTCAATTAAAAAAGATTAAATAAACTTTTACCACCGTGGCGCTAGTCCATTTCCATAAATTTTAGTTCCTTTGGTAAAAAAAAAAAAGCTCATTTCAGATTTTAGTATAACTAAACAAAAAAAAAACATTAAATGCATATATTTTTACATTATTGAAGACATAAGGTTTTTGTGGTTGATGCAGATCTTATCAAGGGTGGCCGATATATTTGTTTAAAAGTTTGGTCAAAATGTATTTTTCATATAAAAAAAAAAATACAAACAGTATGCTTATTTTTTATTTACCAGCACTTAGAATAACCTGTAAACTTAAAAAATTAATAGAAACACATTCTCACTTAAATCAAAATTGTGACTACTGTAATCTAGTTGTAGAAGCTGCTGCAGGATCTTATTTTTCTTACTTGGGTATGTGCAGACATGATTTATTAGATTTAAAATTTTAAAGAGCCCAATATCTGCCAATTAAAATATGTTAACCAAATATTAGGTCCATCTTTAGTTTTTACAAACAGCTTGCATGCTCAAAGAAGGGTCCTGAATTGTAAGAGACTAGATCTTTTTTTAGTTTCGCTTTAAAAACGCAAATAAAGAATAATGAACACTTGGTGTAAAAACAGTCTTCAAGCTGAAAAATCTGCAAATACTGATTCGGTGTGTTTAGAAGTATTTTTAACTGAGTAAATCTGCATTTTTCCTGCCCTGTAGAATTCCATTTTAAAGCATATTAAGTGACAATAATGTTGAATTGTCTGCTGGTGGAGGAGTGCGAGAGAAGAGATGAAGATGGGGATTGTGTGAGAGGGACATAGTTGACTGAGCTGCACTGTGACCATGCTGCACATGACTGTCTGTCTGTCTGCCTGTCTGTCTGTCTGTCTGTCTGCCTGCCTGTCTGTCTGTCTGTCCCATTCAGTGTCTTAATCTGGTGCTGATTTATTATTGGTTCATTATCTTTTTTCTTTCCAGTCTTGTGCCTCTTTTCTTGAGCTTTTCATTAACTTGCAAAGTGGACATTAAATTTTCATTGTGTCTCAGCTGAAATGATCTGTTTGATCTGGGCCGTGCAGTTTTTATTCGCACAAACATGAAGGCCATTGCATCTGGGATCATTTTTAAAAAAAGATCACATCACATCATTTTGAGCAGATTATTGAAACTCATGCCCGCCAGATGAATCAGCTGCAGGTTGCTGTTCTTCTGCGAGGAGGAAACCATGTGGCGGTTGAAGCTGAAGGAAACGGTTGTCTGAATTTTCAGGAACGAGTCCAGCAGTTGGAGAGACAGCTGAGAGAGATGGAGAAGGAGAAGGAGGTGGAGCTGAACGCCCTGAGGAACGAGAAGAGAGAACTCATCCACACAACTCAAATGGTACGAGGGATTGTGGATTTTACAAATTTAACTCACTGGTTTGGCTGTTCTGTGAAGCTCTACTCAATATAGTTATTTATGCAAAATAATTTTTCCCATCAACCTTTAAAATGTGTTCAAAAGTATGAATATTTATGTCTGATTTTACAGAGCTATATTACATAGATATCTCAAAATGTTAGATTTATAAAATCAGTGCTAACATTTCGTTCATTACAGTACCTTTGTGTAAGAATAGGAATGAGTGCATAAAGAAATGGCCTGTTTTATACACATGCATACTCTTACAGCTAAATATTTTCCAGAAACGTAGCAGAGTATACCTCTGCACAAGATATGCAGCTCTGTTCTAATGAGAATGTTACAAAGTGCTACTGACAATAACAAACACATGAATCCTGAAGATCATGTTCTAACATGACTTCTGTTATGCATTTGTGTACATCAGGTGCCCAATACGTTGATCGTGATCTACCAGTCGATTGCAAAGGCATTATGGGTAGATCGTATGGCATTAAAAAAAATGAATAAATGTCAGCCTATCAACCATCCTCACTATGAAATTTGTTACTTGATTTACATGCAGCCCTCGTTCTCTCAAACCAGGTCTCAGGGTGGAGATTTTCAGGGTAAATATTTGTATTTATCCATATTTACCCCCTCCCCCCACCTCGTGAAATTCACAGTGTGTGAAGTTGCACATGCGCACTTCAGGCGGCTGCAGTCAAAAGTTTTTCTGCGGTGTTATAATGAATGACAGAGAGCAGAGTGTTTTTTTGTGCTACTCACCCTTTTTCAGCATGTAGGAGCAAAACTAATAAAATTCAGGGTCCAAAGAGACGTTGGTGTATTCACCAGTTTGGACATAAACTGTGATCGTGCAGACACTGCATGCACATTGAATGCTGTTGAGCTGGAATCAGGGTTGCCAGATCTTAGAATATTGAATGCTGTTGAGCTGGAATCAGGGTTGCCAGATCTTAGATTATCTTTACTCAGCACATATGACAGTTTAGGTCAAAATACTATCATTTTAAAGTGACAGTACTATATTCTTAATTTCTTATCTGGCACCTGACTGACATGGAAACTACAGCGTTTTGTTTTTTGTGTGTAAACCTGTTCTTTATTTGTTTATTTTCCTTAATAAATGTTGAAAACACACTAACGTTTCCAGAGGTTGATCTCATGTAAATGGGGCCTTATAGTACGTAGATCACTTTGACTTGGTTGTTTTAAAAGTAGCTTGCATGAAGAAAAAGTGGGGGGACCCATGAACTTATATGAGCTGAATATTGTGTACTCTGTGCTCCAGGGGCTTTGCTCCACCTGTCATTTCTCACATCAGGCCTAATTTATGCTTGATGCATATAACAAGGTGGAGTCAGGTCCTCTGGACAGATTCTTCTTTGTTGAAATGTTTTGCTCTTTTATCCAAAAGACTTCTTCAGTCTGAGGAGCTGCAACAAACTCAGCAGCACCTTCTCATATTAGATCAAACAGTTTGCTGGTGATAGCTAGAACTATTTGTTCACATGATAAAAGAGGACCATCAACCTAATAATAGGTCGTTAGTGCCCTGATGGCTGCTTGCAATTCACAGAGGACTGAGTGATGCAATAACAGCATTGTAAGAAGGTGACAGTTGAACACGGAGGCTCTCCTGTTTAATGATGGATGAGTTCTCTTTACAAAGATGGCTTTCTTCACTCTTCTCTCAAACCATCGTCCCTCTCCATCAAGGATGTGAACATCTTCATCCCTGAAAGAGTGACCGCTGGCCTGCAGAAGATTGTATACTGCAGAGTCCTGGCCAGATGATGTTGCTCTTCTGTGCTGGGCCATCCTTTGGGCCAGTGGCTTCTTTGTTTCCCCGATGTAGAACTGATCACAGCCCTCTTGGCACTGAAAAGCATACACAACATTACTTCTAATTTACTTTACTTTCTAATAATTTAATCCTCTTAACATAATGTCCTTTATTCATTTTTTCTAGTCAGTTCTGTTTAATTAAATCTCATGCCTATTATGGCTATGGCTAGAGTTTTTATGACATTTCACACTACTTTGTTGTTATTATAAATTATTGCCGTTCCAAAGTATGTGACTCACTCAGCCAGTAATCAAACTGACTCCATCCCATTGGCAGTGGTTTGTCTTTGGCCAGAGTTATGGCAGCATTAATAAAATGAGCAGAAGACACAATCTGGAAGAGGAAAAACAAATCAGACACGGAGTGGGACAGAGTTTTAGTCAGAGAGCACAACCCAGCTGGAGAGAGGGAGGAGGAGGACAGAGGGAGGGGTAAGTGACGTGAGGGTGTGTGCTGCGGTTGGATATGTGTGTAGTGAGTGTGTGTGGATGCACGAGCGAGAGAGAGAGACTGAAGCTGGAAGAAGTTCCACATCCCTGCAGCGAGCGGTAAGCTAAAGGAATAGTTGATCTGTCTAGGTGTTTAAACTTGATTTTTAGTTCATGTTTGCCAAAAGGAGGAGTAAGGGATGACTGAAGGGACTGGCACTGTGAAGAAAAACAAACTGAAAGGACGATGAGATTAGAAATGGATGCAGGATGTAGTTTTCTTCTGACTTTGTCTGAAATTTTGGAAGGCTAATAATCTGGTGGTTGCCATAATGTTGGAGGAGATAATCTGTTTAAAGTAGCGGTAGGACATAGAAAGCATTTAAGGTAATTTTACCCGTGGACCTTCACTAACACTTAAAACTTACAGTACGTGCCTGTTTGTTCAAATCTGTTAAATTCTCCCTGACACCATGTGCTAGAGACTGAAGAAGCAAAAGAGACCAAGAAGGGTTAAATCCTGGAAGTGGCTACATTTCTCATGTGTCTGTGAGTCAAGGGGTGTGGGAGGGTTAAAGCAGAGATAGCATGGTTGTCATAATTTTGTAAAAACTCATTATGCTTCATCCTTGCTGGAATTACAGTTCAGTTTAAATGCTCAGCCAGATGTTGCATGTCAGCTTTTTTGCGCACCGTGGTTTGTCATCCTCTACCCTGCAGATACGGTTAAAGCAAGCTTTAGTTTGTCTCTTAACAAGTAACCATCACAAATCTGCTGCTGAATTTTGAAACTAAATCTGGTTCAACAGGTTCTCAAGGAGAAGAAGCCGCTCACTGATTGGTCAAACATCACCGGCTCGGCTCCATGCATGATGTCACTTTCTCCTCTGACTGTTCACAAGCCTCCACAGGTGTGCAGCTGGTCAATTCATTATCTGCCGCGTGCTCGGATCAGCCACAAAGTTAAAACCACTGAGAAGTAGTGGCTGGAGGGAATAATCTTGATAATCTGGCTTTAAAGCTAAGTTTTACAAGAAAATTCTGTGAACGTGCTGCCTAGATGGCAGGAACGTCACTTTAAAGAACAAGTTCCAAATGAATAAAAAAATCCCAAGTTCATATAATCCCAGATGAAACAAGGATCAATACACAGAACAAACAGATTATGAATGTCTGACTTTGTAATCCACAGATTAATCCAAATTCCAATGGGTCAGAGAATTCTTGGTGGCACAAAAATATACTTGATTAAGATTAAACAGGTGGTTTTAATGCTGTGGGTGGGTGATACGGGTCAAAACTCAACTCTGATGTCATAAAAATAAATATTAGACTTAAAGATAGATAGGTAGGTACAGTGCATAGATACTGGTAGGTAGATACCATTAGGTAGATAGACGATTGATAGATAGATACGTACAGTATCTATCTACATACAGCAGTATGTTCATACATATACGTATAGATACATAGATACATACATACATACATAGATAGATAAATAGTTACATACTGTACATACATACTGTACATATATACATAGATACTGTAGATGCATAGATGCATACTTTATTAATCCCAGAATTGAAATTCGAGACCACAAACCACATTCGAGCTGCTGACAGTTCAGAGTTTAAAAAAAAAAATGGGGGTGAAATCTTCTCCATATTATTCTTAGTGTTCTTTATTCTGCTCTTTAGGAACCAATCAAAGACGCTGTCAGTTTACCCAGACGAAAGAGCTCGCATCGCAACAACAGACTCAGCGACAGGCCGCTTTCAGTACAGGGTGAGTTGTTATCAACCTGCTTTATTTTTTATCTTTCATTGTGCTCCTGATTGCTCAAGCTTTGTAACGCAGAACAATAAACGTGCTCACTGTGCACTCGTTTTGTCTGTTTGCTCGGTTCCCTCCCTTTTAGTCAAATGAAAGGTGTGTCAGGAGAGCTTGTTTCTAGATGTTGAGCAGGATTTGTCTGCACTGAGCAAATCGGCTGTAGAAGCATTTGTAAACTTAAGCCTAAAATCTCCTCAGTAGTAGCTGTTTTTTTTCTCACACAAACAACTCGACCTGTCCCTAAATATTTAAGTAGCCAGATCTACAAGGTCGTGTCAAGTCTTGCCAGGTGTTTTTTTTATTTTTATTTTACCTTTAACTCTTAATCTCTTCCTTAATGCTGTAACTGAAACGTCTCGATACAGTTTGAGTTATCCGAGACAATAAAAGATTGTGTAGAGAACATTTCTTTTGTGCTACATCTTCATCTGTGTTTCTGTCTCCTTGAACCTTCAGGATTAGTGAGATCACTTCCAGACAGTCAGATCCCAGAAGTTTACGTCTCCCCAGTCTCATCCCATAGACTCGGCAATGGGCATAGTAACGGCCTCAGACCTGTGTCCGCTAACGGTGGCACTCTTCTCACGCCATGCAACAGTGCAACAAGCTCTCGTGCTGCCAGGTCAGTTTGGTCACTTCTTGTATGGTGAGCATGTTTTCAGATTTTTGGTTTTAATTAAATTACATGTTACAAAATTTGTTACATGTTGAGTTACAATACAAACCTTTCCTAAAAACCCCAATAAAATTAAAAACTGGTCTCATTCAAAATATAATATCTACTGTATTAATTTCATATTGTTAGACATGAAATTAATTTTTTTTTAACAAATTATATTTGGTAAACTCTATTTATGATGACATCCCAGATATAAGAAATGCCCTTTGGTTTGCCTTTTACACAATACATGTTTTTCTCAGATGAACAATACAATAATAACTCATTCCACCAGTGTTTCTGTGTCTCCCAGCAAAAAAAACACTTGGGCCACTCAATGATTGGGTCAATTATTTTAAATGATTTTGCACCTGCTGCACCTGTGTGCAGCCCACAGGTGCAGGGAGAAGCTCCCTCCTGCAGCGTGTCATGATCTCCGCTTTCTGCTACCTGCGGCTCTCTGCCACGCCTACTTCTCTGCTGCAATCACACTCGTGCTCATCACTCCCAATCTCCCTCCTTCTGTGTGAATAAACAATTTAAATACTGTACTGTACCGGTCCATTGTGGTGAAGAGAGAGCTGAGCAGAGACAAAGCTCTCTTGTTTACCGGTAGGTCTACGTTCCTATCCTCACCTATGGCCACAAGCTCTGGGTAGTGACCGAAAGAATGAGATTGTGGATACAGCATCTGATACCAGAGGAAACAATCATCCAAAAAAATGTGATTTACATCCAGAAAAAGAGGAATTAAAGTTTCCAAAAGCAAAATCTCAGAATGAAAGTAACAGCTGCTCCAACATGCAGCCACCTTGAGCGGCGCAATTCTAGAACTCATGCATTAATACATGCATTAATTAGATAATCATGATCATTTAGTTTGATTTTATTGGCTCTTGGAAGTGATCCAGCACTTCCCTCTTAAAATATACATAAACTTTAATTTTATAGTATTCTTTCTAAATAATTAAATGATCCACAGTGCTGCAACAAATGTTTCTTTAACAAATTAATTTGTGATCCTAATGTTCCTCCTCCTCACAGCCCGTGCCTCTTAGATCTCGTAGAGATTGAGAAGAAACTGAGAGAAGCCAAGGCAGAAAGAGAGAGGCTACTCCAGGAGCGGGTGAGTCACCTGGCGTGGGAAACGCTTGCTAATCATCAGTGACACACCGCATTAGACACGGCCTGCTTATCACTGACACCCACTCACATTACACATGATGTCCAAGAAAAAACACCCAGCAGATGGCTGGATGTTTGTTCATGCATGTTAGGAAAACTGAGGCAAATCCCAAGACTAAAATATGCACCACCAAAAAAAAAAAAAAAAATTTTATCATACATTTCCAGCACTATTGGGTCAATATATCTGTGCATTGTTACAGTAGAAACAGGTTTAAGTACATTGGATTGTTATAGTTTGCTTCAAAACTTGTGTGAACTTAGGAAGAGCGACGACGGTTGTTGCTGTTGGAAGAGAGGAGTCAAAGAGAACTTGACTCCACCAAAGAAGAACCACCTGAACCAGAAAACCAGCTCAAGCCAGAGCCTGAAGCAAATGAATCATCAAGGGTCATTTCTTCACCTCATTCCTCTGAGGTATGAATGAAACGCACACTCCAGAGCTCTAAAACTTCATCTGTTAATTGAAAAGTTGGGAAAATATTGAGGCAGTACCAGAGACAAAGTTCTTGTATTACAGTATATGGATTTCTCTTCATTGGTAAATTGTGGTTCCTAACTTACCCATAATGCAACATAATCCTTTACACTTTGCTTTGTCATCATTCGGTTACTTTAATATTTTGGGGGAACATTTTTCCAATAAAACTATTCACATTTAAGTGATCTGATTTTTAAAATGAATGCACTGAAACAATCAAAACTAACTTTTCGGGTCCAGCATCTCCAGCAGTCACTGTGCGAGAGGCAGGGGACACCCTGGACATGTCTCCAGTCCATCACAGGGACACGTAGAGACAAACAACCATTCGCTCTCTCACTCACACCTAGAGATAATTTAGTTACCAATTAGTCTAACGTGCATGTTTTTGGTCTGTGGGAGGAAACCAGAGTACCTGGAGAAAACCCACGCATGCGCAGAGAGAACATGCAAACTCCACACAGAATTCCAGGATTCGATTCGGCGACCTTCTCGCTGAGAGGCGGCAGCTCCACCACCTGAGCCACCTGGTTGCCGGATTGCAAATATAAATACAAAACAGATTCAACAGAGGCTGATGAGTTTTCTTTGACTTCATAGAAGAACTTAAACATATTTCTGTATTTCTATTTCTATTTTCTTGTAATTTCTATTGTTGAACTTTTTCCTTGATTCCCTCATAGTTTTTATTTTAGATTTTTAGGAGATTTCTTACAGATTATTACTTATCGAATTCTTGCACAGTTTAATTTTCATTGTCTGACAGAGAGCTCTTTTGTGACTCAAAACATGCTGCATCTGTTACTAAATGCCACTGAATAGTGATAGTAATTTCCATGGAAATCAGACTATTTTGAGGCACACTTAAACTCTTGTCCCTCCAGCAGCGAAGCCTGCCCCTCTTCCTCTCTCCAAACTTTGACCTTCGGGCCCATGTGGAGTCTCTGGGTCACGGTGTTGCCAGCTGTACTGACCTGCGCATGACACCTCGACGCTGCGCGGGCTTCCTGACAAAACGAGGGGGGAGGGTGAAGACCTGGAAGAAGAGATGGTTTCTGTTTGACACAGATCACAGACGACTCGCCTACTATACAGGTTAGACCGGCTTGAAAAGCTGAATGTGTAGCTTTGCATTTGTTTGTTTGCATGCATGAATAAAAGACTCCTTTGTGCCACAATCTGAGCTCAGTCAAGGGGAGCCGTTGTTATAAAATTAGATGAGGAACCATCCCTGACTGCGTATATTTCATGGTTTATTGTTGGCTAGAGAACGCTTTTAAACTTAAAAATATTTTTCCTTAAAATAATAAAAGCTAACTACAGACCTATTGTATTGGCGCTGGGGTTGAACGACTACATAAATTTTAAACTCGACATTAACATAATAAAACTCGAGTAGAACTCGAGTACTTGATGACATCATAGGATCTAAAGATACAAAAATAAATAAATAAATAAAACTGCAAAAAGGTCATTATTTACAAAAAAGGCCAACAAAACATTGGGAGCGTATATTATGCTCCTACCATTTATCATACTGCAAATAAGTCCTAGGAAAAACTAAACTATTAGTTATTACTATTAAGCTGCAAAAGTGAAAGAAGCATGCGGCACGTCAAAAACGAAACTAAAAACAGTGGGACAGACGACCACCCTGCACCACCGCCAGCTGTGTTGGGCATTAGGTTTAGTTTTAGAGATTAATATGTTTATAGGTTTTTTATAGGTTTAGAGACTAATATTTTTTGCTTTTTGTGAAACAAGGTCAGAGGAAGCTGTTCTGGTTCAGTCGATTGGACCCGGTGTTACACCATATTCTGTGACCTGCAACAGTGCATGCAACACCGCCCCCTACAGTCACAATATACGTTGGTCACAAAATATGGTGCAACACCGGTTCGCAACGAGCTCCAAACAGTCAGGATTGATTGTTGATTCATTTTCTGTTTCCTTGTGGTAGTTGTCTAAAAAAGTTAAATCTGGTCCTCTGGACATTAAAAAAAAAACAAAACAAAGCAAAAAAATGTAGAAACGTTTCGTCTCTCATCCGAGAGACTTCCTCAGTCTGAGGTGCTGTTTTCAGCTCAGTCTCTTAAATAGCACCTTCTCAGAGAGGATCAACCAGTTTGCTGCTGACAACCAAAACCAGCTGCTCACATGGTCAAGAAGGAGCTGCATTTTCAAAAGCCGATATGCGGAAACATGAACGCACAGAGGGCGACTCACTGTGCATTACTTCGAAATTTGACAAGATAACCACCTAAAAACAATTGTTTGCTCGACATTATAGCAAAGGTGTGTCTCAGTTGAACTTTTACTTAATAAATGCACTTCAGTGGTAAAATTAGCTGCATTTTGTCAGGGCAGCGCAGCAAAATGCAGCTGATTTGATGTTTGCTCCAGGCAGACGAGGGTGGCAGTCTGAGGCAAGCTGATTGTGTCATTAATAGCCACTTTTACCTATTACATGATACAACGGCATGCCAAACTACTCGAGTGCCACTTAGCGGCTGAAAATGGTAGTATTCATTATTTTCAGTCAGAATGAAGGAAAACGGTCATATCGCAGCCAAAAGTTGGTTTATAAATATGGGAAAAAATCCATAAATATGTTGCTCTGGCATATAAGTCGCAGGGCATCAAAATTATGCAAAAAAAAAGAAAAGTGACTTATAGGGCAAAACATACAGTATTGTTTATATAGATATAGTAGAGAGCTGTATGAATGGGTAAATGAGGGCACAGATTGTAGTGTAAAGCACTTTGAGTATTTTGATAAGATAGAAAGTGCTATACAAGTCCAGTCCATGTACCATTGCATGCGCGATGAATGCAGCTGAGCATTCAGTGAAAATATTTTGGGAAAAACATCTATGGTCTGTGAAAAATAAACACTTAAATTACAGGCTTCAGCTCATAAGGGTTTTCGAGATATAGCCCTCTAAATATTCGAGGTTGCAGCTTATTTTAAATCTTGAATATTGTGAACGTTGTTTTAATATTTTAAACTAATATTTTCCAAATGAATGACAAGTTGGGCCCGATAATTCCTGAAAATTGGTCATTTTTGATCATATTTCTAGAATCTGGCATGCGAAAATTTTTAAAAAGCAGGAAAACTGTGAATACTTAATCAAAATGTCCACAAAATGACTTGAATAGCTTGAACTGCTTGTGTATTTGTTGTAATCTTTTATTTTTGGTTTTCCTTTGTCTGCAGACTGTGACGAGAGGAAGCTAAAAGGAGTCATTTACTTCCAGGCAATCGAAGAAGTTTATTTTGACCATCTACGTACAGCCACCTCTGTGAGTTTTAGTATTTTATACAGACTTTGACAAATCAGTCTGAGTTTGTGGGTTCCTGCATCTGGTTATTCAAAATCTGTGGAGATTTTATTTACTTTTCATTTTATGGCTGTTTGTTGTTGTGTGTACCTCATCTGTGCTTTGTCTAAAACGGGCGTCTCATGAAAATGTGTCCTCGTGACTCGAGACTAACCTGTATAAATAAAGGTTGAATGAATTGTAGGGCAAACATTTATAAATGAAGTTGAAGACAAAAGATTGGCTAATTGTTGGCTTGTTTATTGCAGCTAGTTAAAACAAAAAATCTGAATCAGTAAACATTCTGTATTTTGATTATTTCCAGGAGAAAAATTAATCTTTCAGGCTTTTAAGAACCAACCGAGCAGGCTTTTCTTGTTTCAGCTAGACATCACACACTGAGTGTTTTATTAGGCTCCACATCAGCTGTTGCTACAGCAGTATTTTATCTGTTGTCAAAACATCAGCGTTCAGGCAAATTAACTTGTAAAGATAAATCAAATGTTGTCAAAGAGCTGATTTGTTATCGTGACTTAACACATTATCTCTGTCTGTATCTTCCCGTCAGTCTCCGCGGCCCAGCCTAACGTTCTGCGTGAAGACTTACGACCGCCTGTTCTTTCTGGTGGCGTCCAACGCTGTGTCCATGCGGATCTGGATGGACGTCATTGTCACGGCAACAGACGAGTACAGTCGTTACTGACTGTATGTGACTGTTAAAGAAAGAGAGAAGCTCCTGGACGTACAGTACTGTGGGTTATTTTCTCTCTTCCATGTCTGAAAAGCTGCTTTGACCTGAGATCTGCTTGAAAAGGCTCGTTCTGGACCTGAACTCATAAAACTGAATGGTCATGTGAGAGTGAAGGAGTTGGAGGTACCTGGCAGATGTGTTTGAACACACTGGAGGAAGCTGTTACTGACAGAATGATGGCAGCTCAGAGGTTCATCTGCTGCAGAGCAGAAGGTGAAGCTCTCCATGGCTTAGTCACTGTTACTCAGCATCTTGCACACACGAGTCTGTTGCAGAAAGGTTGTGCTCTGAGCTGGAGCGCCCCCTGCTGGCTACAGTCCAGCATTACAGGACCACTGAACATTACACTACAGTACACTGAAGGACAAAACACCACGGCTGAGGTGGCCACAAGAGCACCAGCATGATGTGATGGAGTCTAAACACTTTATTTGGACTGTCAGTTGGGTATTTGGGGTTAAATATTTTTATATAGTGTTATAAGTTCCCATCATTATGTCCTCATCCTGCCTCTGGATTTCTGATAAAATATGATGTTTGTACAAGATTATTTATTATCTGAAAATTTGTATGATGGTTTGCAAATAAATGAAAATATACTCGGTCATTGTGTCACCAATAAACTTTTATTCATAAAAAAACATCCAGTTATGTGTTTATTATGTTGATACTGACACGGTGTCCGTCCTCCGTCTGTCCATCACATCCACCATCTTTACCCACTTCTTCCTTTTTGGGTCGTGGGGGTCACTGGTGCCCATGTCCAGCAGTCACTGTGTGAGAGATGGGGGACACCCTGGACAGGCTTCGTCAGTCCCTCACGGGGACACAGTGAGACAAACAACTGTTCACTCACTCACACCTAGAGACAATTTTAGAGTTACCGATCAGACTAACATGCATGTTTTTGGTCTGTGGGAGGAAACCAGAGCACCCAGAGAAAACCCACACATGCACAGAGAGAACATGCAAACTCCACCCAGAAAGGCCCCAGCCGGGATTCAATCCAGCAACCTTCTCACTGAGTGTCAACAGCTCCACCAACAGCGCCACCGTGCTACATCCACAGCAAGTCATCCTCCTCCATCTCTGTCTTCACTCTGCTACCTCATGCCCTCTCTAACTGCATCCATTTGTCTCCTCTTTGTCTTTTCAGCATTCAAGTTATTGTGATGGGGAAAAAGCAATAAAAATTTTAATAAATTAAAAAAAAATTGTGTTAAAAAAATTTTTCACTAAATTTCCTGAATCAACTGAAGTCGTTCTTAAAGTAAATGGGTCTTTTTTTTCTCCGATACGTGCCAGATGTCAAGTTCCTTACACAACACGATAAACTTTTAACTTTGATTATGTCACAATTATAGAAACATTTGCGTTGTGTGTCCAACTGATTGACTTCTATCTGTTGTCCTTAGATTCAAATAAGATGGAACTTTATTGATCCTGCAGGAAATTGTTGTGCCAGAGTTTCAGTACAAAGGAACATGCACAAGGAATCACACAAGATATATATAAAAAAAAACAGAATATAAAAATACCAGCTATTAAGTTCTAAACAGGTCAGGTGCAGATGTGAAATGTTTTAATGTTTATGTCCTGATGCTGCTCAATAATCCAGGTAGATAAATCTAACAGGGTAGAGTCAGCTCCTCTGGACGGGTTCTTCTTCGTTGAGCCCGTCCAGATCCTTAGAATGTGCACTGCACAGTGGCTCAGTGGTTAGCACCATCACTCATAGCATAGATAAAGGGTCTTGGTACGACTTCCTGAAGGGAAGTAAGTCATGATAGAAATAAAACAAGTTTGCATATTTCCTCAGTTTGTTAGCTGTTAAAGTCCACACAGAGTATATGAGAATAAAGTTAATGTCAAAGCAAAAACAAAGTGAAGCTTTTTAACGTAAGTTGTTCCTCGTGGTAGAAAACCAGCTAAATTTGGTTGAGGCATACGAGTTGAATCTATCTTTAAGTCTCTCCAGAGACGTTTTTGATCCTTTTAGCTCTGCCTGTGTTGCTTGAAGACTTTAAAAGGTTTCCTGAAGTCATTTATGTATTTCTTTGAAATAAAGTTAAGGAAAAAAAAAAAAAAGGTTTATTTTGAGTTTTTACCATAAATATCATTTTGGTCAAATGATTAATATCAGCTCAGACAAAATTAATTTTAGACCTCAGTGGTTTATTTTCAGCATTAATGTTTGTAATTTTGTAAATATTTTATAATAATCCATGAATAAATACGTGAGGTTTCGTCTACTTGCTGTCTGCTCTTCTGCCGGGGTCCCCACAGTGAGTGAACTCACGTGACAATTTTTAGATTTTTGCAGTTGTCTTAAGCTGAATCCACTTTCTGACACAACCTGAGCTCAAACCTGCAGCCTTGGATCACAAGACCCCGGCACCAAACTACCGAAGACCCCCAGTCACCTCTTACAAGAGTGATATAGATCCAAAAGTCTGTCATCTTAAAATAAGTTATAATTTATATTTCTTCAGTCTGTTTATTGTTCACTTTAGACCATACAGATGTGTCTTTAGTTCAGCAGGTTCTGTTGAACTTTAGTGAAGTTGTCCAAATATAGATGGTTGCCATCAAGATGGATCTAAAACGTATGCTGCAAATATGCAGGAAAAGGTACAAAACTTTCTAACAGCTTTCACACATTTCTGCTCATGATGAATATCTGAGGTTACTAATACTTCCTGTTGTTTTGAGTTTCTGACTAATACTTCCTGTTGTTTTGAGTTTCTGCTAACTGAAAAAATATATCTTTAAAACCTCTAAACACTTTCATAAATTCACTTCCTTAAGTGACATTGTCATTCCTTCCTACTGAAGTGTGTTGTCTGAAGACTTCTGCAGGTAACACTTTAACTGTTTATTCACATCTGTTTGTATTTTTGCTCATAAAGTGCAGGTTTGTAAACAAACGTATTTGTATAGATAAATATATATAT